TTGAAACTAATATTGTGTTATTGGGCAATGATAATGTCTCCGTTCCAACAATATTTGGGCCAAGCCCATTTCATCATCGTCCCATAGTTGAATATAAAAGACAAAATTGGCATCAATATTCAACACCACGAAAGATTATTAATGGGATTCTTGTCCAGATTTCCACGAAAGGTATTGGTTGATTAAGACAGCAGTACGGTAGTTAACTCACCTGTCGAATATTAACAAACTTCTATTATTAATGACTAATGCTGGTGTAATACAATTCTTAAGAAAAAATTTCCTTGTAGGAAAATGATTTACAATGAATCGAGTTCCTGGATTCCTTTTCTTTACAGGTTTTGTAACAAATCTCAGCCACTATTGGAATGAGTTGATGAAAAATAAGCACAGCCTTTGTGCAGATGATGAGAAGGTCCTTAGAAAATTTCGACGTAAGAAACTCTGATCCTTAGTGATTACACATACACTCTGGCACGGGATATGCTAACACATCTCTGTCTATCCTCTTAGTTCTCTGCTCAGGTTGTCCCTTGGAGTTTTTATGCAGCTTCTGTATAATGCTGCTAAATTCTTCCTCGGAAAGGGACATGTCCTCAAAGAAAGGAATCATCATTCGCTTGTTAGGCTTTACGTGTTTCCTGTGTCCAACATACGCGCGATGGCCCTGTAATATCAGACAACAGAATCAATTTGCTAAACCATGTTTACTATAAGGCAAACAAGTTCCTTGTGCTTTCAAATTTAAACTGGAAAACGTGGCTTAATATTGTCATCAGTACATTTGTGCATATGGGAATTCTGGGATTGTTACTAATCCAAGCCGTTATAGTGTTACGTACCTGCAAAGCGCGGCCCATGTTACCCCCATGGGAAGGCATAAAGACATCACTGCTCAGAGAGACAGTATAGTCGATGGCAGCTAAAACAGAAGGTCTGTTCGTGTATGGACTAAGCTCATCCCCTCGTGACAACATCTGCTTTGTTACTATATTGGGGAACTCTTCTACAAGGGGCTGCAATGCGAAGACGCTCCCAAATGGATCCCCTCCTGCCACATATATGCGAGCATTACTTGGCGCGCCTAAAGCCTTCAGAAGCCTGAAGTTTCCCTCGATTAGAATGTTCTTTATCCATACTTCATAATTTGAAAGAGGTTTAACTTCATTCAAATATGAAAAAACACTTTTTAGCTTACCTTGCAACTTCTAGAGCATTAAGAGGACAGAGTCCTGCTAGGCGTCGTGCTGCGTTGCTCATATTCAATTTATCAGTTAGAAAATCGGGATGAGACTCCCGATCCCTGGCTATAATGTCATCATATTTTGGTCCTAAGCCAGTGAGGCATCCTGTTCTGATCCATACATCCTTCTCTATCCGTAAATGAATGGCTACATAAGGACCTTCAATCCACATTCTCCTAGCCATTTGATTGCCAAGCTCTCGGATTGGAGTTGAGAATCTTAGGGCGTGAAACGCTACCTTTGAGAAGAAAAAGGAGAGACAAATATATCAATCTCATGTTGATTTCTAATCTTATTTCTGAACAGAGAGATTTTTCGATATTACCTTACATCGGAGCTTCTGAAGGTCGGGTGGAAGACTCTTGGAAAGCTTAGAATCTAACCCTTTCAATATGAGAAGGCCTTCTTCATTTAGCTACATTTGCCAAACATAACAAAGCATAAATACTTATCAGTAGTGAATGAGGTTACGGATCAAATTTAGGTGGTTTATTTATACAAAGTATCCCTCTGAATTACATCAAAACCATGTTTAATGCTTATCACCAGATACAATGTTCATCGATGTGGTATCAAATATGAAACATTCAATTTCAAACCTTCACAAGTTCACGTTACCCCCCTATCCTTACTGGCTGACCCCCAACACACCAAATGCCTTGGTCCTACAAGATACCCAGGGCTGGACGTTTATTTGTTTATTAATAAAGTTAAGTTGCGCACCAAAACCGAAAAGGGTATGTTTGTTGCACAGAATTAAACAACATATACAATTTTAACTTCTTTTTCTTTCTTAATCATGTCCAATGCCATCCAGTCTAACGAACCAAACATCCATAAATTTCTTGAGCCATCTATTGTGAAACAGACTGAAACTTCTGAACATAAGCTCAAGTTTTCCTTTTCTTACCTGTTGGAGGAATCTTGTACGTATCCATGTTGGTGATACATGAAGCGGTATTTGATTTTCAACAGACTGCTTTGCTACCAAATGAGTGGAAGGAAGGGACGTAACAATTCGAACATCAGCTTGTAAAATCTTCTTGAAATGTTCAACATCAAAAATATCAGAAAATTCACTGCAAAATCATAAGTGTAGTCTTAATATATACTCGAGTGACAAAATGTGTTAAAGATAGTTCACTAACTAAAACAAAACACTGAAATTTTGTTTGGTATTACTCCAACAAACTTATCAAGAAGACAATCAAAGATATCTGCATATGATTATCGGACTCCAAGAAATGAAACGGCAAATTAGGCAAAATCCTGTATACCTTTCGTCTCCCCAAATGCGATTAACCTGTAAAACTGGTACCACCAACGCAGCCTCAAGTACCCTCGCGATCACAACTGCATCAACAATCTGATTCCTTTGTTGGTTTAATCCTCCCGAAACCACCACAACCAAGAATTTCCTCCTCTGCTTCGAAATTCTAACTGATGATTTTCGATACTCTAGACTAAAATCCAGGCAAGGGTGGTACCCTTCACCATCGGGCTGCTGCCAGAACTCCCTCTCCTCCTCAGAAAGGTTACCATAAAAGCCATGTGGAGGCAATGGCACCATAGCACTGGTAGATAGTGTCGGCTCGTCATCAAGAAGATTATTGGAGTAGTCTTTGACTATGGACGAAAGCGAAGCTAATAGAAATGGGGACAATGGCGATGAAGGTGAGATCATAGAACAAGGAATCGAGTTCTGAGAAATGGGAATGAAAGTGAGAATGCAAATTCCCAGAAAAGTGCAAAGAATGAACAGAGAAAGGAAGAACAGTAAAGTGAGATTTGCTGATGAACAGTGATTTTTCTGGTTTCTTGAATTCTTTTTTGGAGAGAAAATGAGGGAATTCAACGGAAAAATTGAAAGCAAACGGGTGAAGAATAATGGGTTTAGATTGATCAAAGAGCCATTGATGTTCCTCGCCGTTTTCCCCATGAAAATTGCTCGATTTTCACTATTTTCTGCGCTGTAGATGCTTCTTGTTAATGGGATTTCTATGAATCTGTGTTTTTCTGAAAAATTTCTTGGTTAATGAATGAACGAGGGATTCAATCAAGAAGCAAAAAAAAGGATTCAATCAAGAAATGGAATGAAGAATTTGTGTCAGTAAATTGCACATATGTATTGATGATTGTTTTCTAGAGAGGGAAAAGAAAATCAAAGACTGGAAATAACTGAATCAGTTGATATTTAACAGAAAGTTCAAAATTGCCCTCGTGATTGTTGAATATTTACACGATGTATATAAAACACAAAATATTAACAAGGTTGATATTGTCATTTCAATAATAACACATATATGTTAGTTATATCTTCGTTTCATTTTCGCGCCCAAAAGGAGCCTATGGAAATTACCTATATAATCCAAATTTCCAATTATTCACGTCTGGCGAATATTAATTTATTTTTTTTCATCAAGATTCATTATTTTCATTGTTAATGTGAAATTTTTTTTATATTAATATTAGGTCTTTTTAGGTTTGAATCGTCCTTCTCTTAGTTGCGATTTAAAACCCAGCTTAAATTTTTTTTTTTTAGTCCAGTTCTGACTTCACTCCTAACGAGAATAGGATAGGCGTGAGCCCAGCCTGTCGGGATAACAGTAGGATTATGATGGTTGCTAATTTATGATGCTCGTTTTCCTCATTAGTTTGCTTTTTGTTCGGCGAGAAGGCAATAGTGTGTTGCACATGCTTTTTCATCTCCGTTCGATTTTATGTGGATTAGGGTAGGGGCGAATCTAGGATCGGACTAAATTTTTTTTTAAGTTGGACTAATATATACCCAAACTTCATTGATGATCTTGTATATCATGATCGTTCTTGAATGAAATTACATATTACGCTAAAATAAAAATTGCTCTATAACGTAAAGGTCGACGATCCCAGCTAGAATTTTCCCTCTGCATTTTTCTCTTCCCATAATTCTTTATTTTAAATGCCTTTGTGTATTATGTATAAATTCTTTGCTTTAAGAATCCAATTTAACTTTATACGACGTTGTCGATTTCTCTCTTTAATACTCAACAGTTTGTTAAATTCAAACTTGAAATGTGTACTTTGCATAAAGATGAATCAATGTTATACAAAGAAAGATACACTGGGTTATTAATGAAGAAGTATTGCACGGAGTTACCATATCCTGTATCCCACATCGGATATTGATATTGGCTAAAACAACAAGCTGCAATGAGCACAAAGCGACTTATTCTTTCACCTTTTACTAAAGAATACCATGTGCTCGTTGCAAACGAGCGGCATATGCCAAGTTCTGAAGGGTTTTTTCGCATGAAGGGAAAACCCGAGCCGATGAGAGTTCAAATTGTTTTTGTATTCATCTTCTTTTCTTGCTCTACAAGGGCAAACACCCTTGTTTGGTTCGGCTAAAATCAAACTTTCAGTATATTTTGATAGAATTTGATAAAATGTATGGTTGAAAATTGAAAAGTTGATAAAAGTTTGGGTTCATAAAATATGTAGATATAAATAAGTTCAATTTTTTTTTTATTTTTTAGGATCAAGGGCTAAATATTCCTATGACAAATAATTGATACACATATATACGGCTTTTTCTAATAAAAGAGAGACGAGAGATCATTTGAACGCTTTATTACGAGCGAAAACCCCATAAATGGAACTAGAAATGGACTTCGTGTTAAATATTTGTACCGATTTCGTTTTGCTTATAATATTCTCCATCTCGATCTGATAACGATCGAACGAGGACTTTATGCGGTCAAGAGTTGATAGCTTTTTATGCAATAGAGCCGACAACCTTAGGTCTACCACCCATAAACTAAAGTGCTCTATCACAAAATCCCACTTTTAGGGATCAAACCAACACACATCCAATTCCAATGCACGTACAATTTGTAATTATTGGTAATCCCTATTCACACACTCCTTCAAGGCTTCACCAACATATCACATACAAAAGTCGATTATTAAACTAATTGCATGTTTGACGATCATTAATTTATTTTATGATTTGCTATAAAATCATTTTCAATGACACGTTTACATAATAAAATATTCTACACGTATATCAACAATTTTCTCTACTTTTTAATTATACATTTTTTTAAAAAATCAATATTCAAAACTCTTTTTTCTATAATAATGATTGTCAAATAGGCTCTAAAGTTCTATAGAGCACATTAACTGACAGTCACGATTGATGTACAATTTTTAAAAATTAAAATAACTTTTTTAAAGTTGGCAAAATGTCTCATCCTTTTGGGAATCAGGAGGTGGGTGTGGAACATAGTCCCCGCCTGGCAGGGCTCGGAGATGGATGGCTGTCCCAGTTGCCATCCCTAAAATTTTCTACTTTAACTATTGAATAGTTGATACCCATGTATAGGCTAGATTCATTTTTTTTAATCGAAAAACTAATACTGGTATAAAGGACTGACGGTAAGACTTGAACTCGGATCTTTTCTTTGAATCTAATACTAAGTTAATTGTCTTGCCTAAATGCTTAGGTCATTAGAGATGACAACATATTCATTTTAATCACACCTTCTACTGAAGAAATAGTGCACACTAGAGTTCAAAATGTGGGGCTAATGTAATGTTGGTTTCTGTCAATTTGCATGGGGAATGTGGGCATTCTTGAAATCAGCCTTTTGAAATGAAATGCTTACATATAGGCCTCAATCTTGCCCCTGCATAAGCCTCACTCACCATTTATCAATGGAAGATGAGAATAAAGAATTGCAGCTACTTTCTGGCACTCCATATACTGCAGCTTCTTCATCACAGGATTTATCATGGCCATTGGATTCTTCGATGAAATTCAGATCAATGAATCATTTTGAGGATCCATCACTTGACCTTCAATTGTCAATAAGCGTTAGTCCACTCCAGCCAGTTGCAGATCATGTTCGAAGAAGAAAAGTTAAAGATTATGATGGTGGAAAGTTGGAATCGAGCCGTGTTGAGGCCTTGAAATGGCAGGCTGCTGAGCAAGCTCGATTAGCAGCAATGGAGAATGCTTATGCAGAGCGCGTCAAGGAGATTACGCGGAGAGAGATGGAAATAGCGCAGTCTGAGTTTGTGCGTGCCAGATACACGTGGGAGAGAGCGAGGGAGGAGGTTGAGAAAATGAAGGCCATGGCTAGTAGGCATATTGATTCTACTTGCAGGGAAATTACTTGCCAATCTTGTAGACAAAAGTTTAGACCTTAGGAACTGCTAACCACATTTTGAGTCTATGTTCGAAGGTTAAAACTGTTGGTGGTCACTCAACTTTTAGCTGATATTTCATGTTCGTCACGTATTTTCTTCCAAGTCGATTGTTGGTTGCTGAACTTGAACATTTGTCACAATTTAATCGTTTATCCATGTTCGTTAGTTTGACAAATAGAAAAAACCAACACACATTTTAGTAGCAAATACCTACACTGCCACGATTATATTAAGAGTAAGGACACAATGGATTGGGATTGCAAAATGCAGTCTTTGGCACTTGGTCTCTATTAGAAGTTATTTTACTGGATCTTATATTTCATGGGTTCATCAGAAGAATTTTGACAGAACTATGTTAGTACCATGGAACTAATTCAGTATTATGGAGCTAATAATTCTGCATTTGTTGACAGAAAAAGGAAAAGAAAAGAAAGAACAGCAAATTTGGATGTACTAGAAATAATTCTCATATTTTCTAATCATCTACTACGGCTAATTTTAACAGATTCTGCGACGGCTAAACAGCCATAGTACATGGAGTTTGCGAATTGGATGAATATACTATAGCACGTAGAGCGAAAGCTGATTGCTATGCATTAGTGCTCGTACATAGTCTTACGACTTTGCCAATTGGATAGAATTGTGAAAAACTCTCGTTTCCTCGGGAAGAGGGCAATCTGAGGGGAAAAAAAATCTCAGCATTCATTTCCAATTGACAGAATTTAGTACCTCTGGCTGTTCATTCTATACTATACCTTCTTGTTTAAAAGTTTGTCGTCAAAAATGTGAAAAGATTTATTTATTTATATTATGTAGGCAGCGAAGTAACCAGAACAGAAATCATGAGAGAGAATTAATTGAGACAACTCCATGTGATCACAGCGAAGTTCAGAGTACTGTAGAGGTTCAAAAAGGTGAATAAATCAGAAGAAAAAGTAAACCAATTCATTATGAAGAAGACAACATAGCTGTATACCAACTCTTATCTTTAGTTGAATCAAAAACCAAATACCCACTATCTATGTCTGGGATACATCACAAAAAAGGGAACATTTTTGGATAAGATGATGAGTCTTACTAATCTTAGTTCTAGCACTCCCTTCCATAGGATTCAAGATTTTCATTTCTTGATTTTCCATCAATCTACACACACATTATTTTGATTTCATGAACTGTTACACTCGGCACGAGCATAACTATTGTGTAGAATTTAATGATACTCTACACTTATCTCCCTAATCGCAGATCAAATGGGGTGGTATAACTTTATTTATCTTCGCTTCATTTAATATTTCTCTTGAAATAGAGATTAGAAGTTGTTACTCCCTATATCCAAGTGGCAAAGAGCAGTCCTACGAAGACACCAGAGCATGGCACGTGTGAGACTAGTACAATGTTATCACGAAGCAAGATGAAAAGAAGCTTCGATGTCTTGGCTTCACTCTAGCGAGGCCATTTTTACGAGGACCTCTTGGAGCCCCACTAGAAGGGAATCCGGACCTGATCTCTCGAACACATGTATGCAAACCTCAACACTCAGTAAGAATTGAACCAAGGTGCAGATCCAGAAGCAACCGAAGGTAAAACCTTGAACCAACGTCACGCCTCTTGCAAATAAGGCAAACGAAAACATTTTATTACGCCACATGGCAACATGTGAATATTGCCAGGTGGCAGAAACAACCAAATCCAATAAGAATGAACCGCGTGTCATTAATCTATTCATAATAATATTTTTATTGTAAACTCGCTTATATGATAGTGACGAGTGATAATGACATTTTTACAAGTTCATTTCAGTTCACAAACATGGATAATTGTCGATAAATGTACAGAATATAGGTTAATTCGATGTAATATGTGTTTGCAGGACATCAACGATGAAAGTGGGAGAAATTAGGAAAAACAAGCAAAAAAGGGCTTAAATGAAGCAAAAGCAAAGTTTGAGGACTCAAGTGCAAATATTGAAAAGTTGTGTCGAACCTCATGATGACGA